TTGAGTTGGGTCGATACATTCTTCATTGTATTGCTGATGTGAGGTTTATCTGATGGCCGGCCAGGTGAATTGTCTCAGTCCCTTTATCAGTAGATGTACGTCGAGGAATTCCTCCTATTTCTTTGACCAGCTGAAGATAGTAATAACCGATGTGGCGGGGATTGTTGTTGGTGATGTGGACATAAATACCGAGGATCTTGCGGCTCCAGGCATCGATGAACCCGTATAAAGTAATTCCAAATTTTTTCAACTTGTCGTGACCGTCTGCTGACCATATGTAGTTGGGCCCTGGTGTTTTGAAGACCCTTCGCTTGAGTACCCTCTTGGCTCGATTTTCCACACCATCGGGGTCCAGTGTACGATTGATGAGTGCAACTGTGAGGCTAAGGTGTGGAAAATTGAGAAAGTGATGAAGAAAGGAACAAATTGGTGTTACTTCAAGCTTATTCATGGAGTTTGGAAACTTACTAGTGGAGGGTGATGCCAAACTTTGTCTGGAGGAGCTGTCGCATACGTCGGTAGCCAACATTCCTTCCCTCTGGAGTCAGGTGGAGATGCATTACACATGATACAACGGCCTCGATGGTCACTCGTGCGGTATCCAAGTCGTCCAACCTCCTTGAGAGCTGCATCGCCGTAATCTTCCTCTGGAGGGTACGCTTGGAGTGAGTATAGTTGTGAGAAGTAGTTAGTGCATGATGGATTTGCGAGTAGGTCAAGCCTTGGTCGAAATACTTCTTGATGTGCTCTTCAGTGTCGGCCATTTGCTGAGAGGCATGCAGGATCAAGCCCCAGTCTTCTTTGCGTCGGGTTAGTGTGCGTTGGGAAACAATGATCGAGTGATTTTCCTGGAGGAATTGTCTGATTTCGTTATCATTATGGCCAGCATTAATTAATTCGGTAACAATGCTTTGGAACTCGTGGCCGAAATTTTGAAGAGTGATACGCATAGTGTTGGAGAGGTACAATAGGCTGATTGGATGTAGTGTTACTGGGATGGTTATTTCGTTGGTTGTATGGTATTGGTGTGGGTGGATAGCTTTACAACACGTAACTTTGTATGGTATGGGTGTGGGGGGGTTGGATGAAACATAGTGGAGTATTGCCGGTGTATATTACCTGTATCTCACTGTATTGGCCAAGTTGGCTCCTGTATGCTGCATGAAAATTAAAATTTCAAAATGGATTATTTGTGGCCAAAATGGCACGCTCATGCCTCCATAGGATTAAGCAAGATCTGGTTTCTCTGCAGGAGCTGATATCAGGTGCAGATTGGCATCTGTGACGACAAATTGCATTGAAAGGAAATTTGAGATGTCTGGGTCACCTCTGTGAAGGGCAAAGGTATGGAGGTACTGAACAGCCATTTTGGCCAAAAAAAATGAAAACATGGAGATGAACCGCCACTTTGGCCAAATAACCGCCAAATGACGGCCCTGAACCGCCAGAATGGCCAAAGTGAACATTGAATCTAACCGCCAAATTGGCCACCCATGCTCCTGAACCGACATGATTGCTCCTGGACCGCCAAACATGGCACTGATCCGCCAAATTAGCCATGTATCCAAGGGGTTTGTGACCTCGTCTCAACCCCTTGGACTCTACATGCCCCATCAATACACCCAGTCATCCATGGGACTGGAAGTACATCTCCCATGGATGATAAACACCCCCATCAAGGACTGATTTCAACCAGTCCTTGATGGGGTAAGCCTCCCATCAAGGGCCGGTTTGGACCTTGATGGGAATAAACAACCCCATTGATGACCGGTTTTGACCGGTCATCAATGGAGGACACACTCCCATCAAGGACCGGTATTGACCGGTCCTTGATGGAGGAAACACCCCCAAACACCCCCATCGATGACCGGTTTTGACCGGGTCATCAATGGGGGTCAAC